GAATGATGATGGCAACAAATGTGCTTGACACAATGGATGTATGTATGGATTGTGATGAGTTGTACGAACCCACAATAAAACGATTAAAAAAAACAAACTACTCGTGAATTGGGTAGAACATGTAACTTAGAGGCAGTTCTTACTTGCCCTTCAATGTTTACGCAGATTTGTCCATTTGGAAACTTAAATCACAGTAACTGTCATTTGGTGCACGTGTAGCTTTTAAATCATTGAAAAGGCTTCAAACCCTTTCTTACTCTCTGCACCCTATGCACCTGTCCAGACTCACCTACAGATTCCTCTGTAAGACAGTCAGCTAGGGCTCTTTCCCAAGGGGACTGCCTGTTCATGGCTGGCTGTCACAGGCGGTTGCCGATCAGAGAAAGGAAATGGAATTAATTGTTGCTTCAATACTATGCAGATGACAAGAAATGGCTTGTGGTCACCTCCCTCGGAATTCTCCAAGTGAGGGGGTGAGAGAGTGTCCCCCTCCCGCTGGAAAAATGCTAGTGAGGGTTGCCAGCGACCACTTACACTTGTGAAAGATTCGGAAGCCCTTCCTGCCAAGAGATTGCTGTGTGGTGCTTTTGCAGAAAAGCCTTGCTGTCTTAATGGAGGGAGGGTGTGCAAATATCTGGAAGGGGGGTGTGTGTTTAGGGGTTCAGGGAATCTTTCAGGAGCTTCACAATTGGCAGATGAGATTAAAATTCCAGCAACAAGAAAAGTCAGGGCCACTGACAATTGAAAATATTGACATGGGGCACAGAGACCTATTGGCTGGATTAGGACCAGATGGGTAACAGGCTGACCCCCTCAGCTGTTCATCTTGATAATTAAAGTAAAGCTTGCACCTGCGATACAAAATTAGCTCAGAACCCAAAGGCAGCCCTAGGTAAAGTACATTTGGTTCTTGGAACACAAAGGCTTAATATCAAGAGGCATTTAGTTTGGGAAACATTTAGTTTGGAAGAAGGGTGAAAGTCCAATGTTGACAATTAACTCCTTCCCACCTGGGCAGATGTACAAAGAATTCACGAGCTCACAGAGGTTTTTTGAAGTTAAAACAAGTAAGCTCTCTTTGTTAAAAGAGTCTACTTGAAACTATAACTTAAAGTGGGCCCTGAGGGAGCCTATGAAGGGAGCGTCAAGAGTACTGCTTAAAGCAAAGAGCACTGGATGGAGTGAGGGTGGGGCCTGGGTCCTAGCCCTGCTTCTACCGAAATATGGGCAGAACTGCCTGATGGTCTCTCTAGGCTTCTCTGATCTACAAAAATTGGGAGATTTGACCCAATCCCCACTCCCACCCACAAAATCCCAAGCTCATCGCCTTGAATTGATCCCAGCTCATACAGGACAGTCGAGCTGGTTCTTAGGGTTTCCAAGACAGAATGTTTCTGGGAGCAGTCTTGGGTTTCGCCCTCACCCTCACCCCAGTTTATTTGTTTAAACCACCGGCCTCCCTATTAACAGCCCAACGCCTAATCCACAGCACCACCAGGGCACCTCTGGAGACTGGGCTAGAGCACTGATGTTCAGATTGCCTGAAGTTGACCAAAAAAGGTGTGACCTTGCAGAATTAGATTCACAGCAGGGGTTATCGATGAAAGTGGCTTCCTGTAGTCTTTTACTTACATACCAGGTCACAAAAGCCATACGAACCAAATTTCAACAATTAAAAGAAAAAATGTTTGCATGCCAAAAGTGGACCCACTTTATAGAAATCACCTTGCCTGCATCAATATTCCTGACTAAAACATGGACCGAACAAGGAAGCCGGTTGCAAATTTTAAGCACAATCTAAGTACACAATGAGATGGATGTGCATGTCCACCTGGTTAAGAATTTAATTCCTAATTGTGTGTTTAATTCTTATTGTTAGCAAGACCTGGCTGGATATGGATTTCTAATATTAATAACTGTCATACTAATTAAGATCAAGTAGTTGACACTAATCATTCTACATCTCAAGTGGATTTCAGGAGTAATTAGCCAACTATAAACCTCCATTTGGGACCTAATAGTCTTGGAAGATGGACAAAAGACACTAGACTGCACTGAGGAAGAGAGACCACACACTAGATGGGCTGAGCTGCATCCTTGGGATTGCTGTGGACGCCTCTATTAAGTGAAAGTGAGCCACGAATCAGGTGAAATCATTCCCCAACAGTGAACCATTACACCCAGTTCCAACCACAGCTTAATCAAAGCCATCGCCTGAATCACTCAGTCACTACTTTTTACAGTTTTATCAAGAATGTCAACTGCAAAGTCAAGGGTGGGAGGAGGAATATTGCATTTTTAGTATTACTTTCTTAGTGGGCATTTCCTTCCCTTGCCCCGCCCATGTTTTAGCCAGTATTTGGAATTGAGCGAAGTTGAATAAACCATGTTTCTAACTTTGATAAACAGAATTAGCCTTTTAATTCTAGTACAAGGGTAAGTAAAAAATATTGCTCTAAAATCATGAACATTTATTTTAAAATACCAAATATTCAACTATTGTCTTCACATAACTCTACACACTTGGAAGTGCCTCCATCTGAATTAACAATTTCCTTTATAAAAATTAACAAAAGACTGGGTCCTGAGAACCAAAAAGCCAAAACCAAACTCGCTGTTATCAAGTCGATGGTGACTCGGCAGGATAGAACTGCCCATGGCCTTGTGAGTTTGAGACTTTATGGAAGTAGAATGCCCCCTCTATCTCCCAAGGAGCAGCTGGTGATTTTGAACTTTGGACCTTGAAGATCACAGCCCAACATGTAACCACTATGCCACCAGGGCTCCTTTGGTCTTAAAAGTGGAGGTTAAACATACCCCAAATGCGCCACCTCTCCACACTGCTGTACCACGTCACTTCTGACACACCATCCCCCACCTTCTGACCTGTTACACCCCCTTACTCCCCAGGGCGCTGCAATTTGCTGCAATGGCGACTCAGAACTCACAATAGAAAGGAAAATAGCTCATGTCTTCTGGGTGCTAAGTCCCAAATCAAAATTCAGATGTCCTTCTGGGAGGAGTCTCCTGATCTCCACGGTTATGGAAGGTGGTCCAAGAACCAGATGCAGGGTCCGATGGATGTGTTCCACTCGGACTCTTCCTGGCAGCAAGCTCCTTGCTCTGGCCTGAGGTCTTTGTACACAGCAGGAGGGCAGTCACAATACCACCTGTTCGCAATGACTCAGGGGAATCCTATCAACAGCTTTCCCCACCTTTTTACCCAGACTTGAGCAAGACACAGTCCTTTGGTGGGAGTTCTAGACAGGCCAGAAGAACCACAGTAAAGAACTCCTGCCCTACATCCTCTCTCAAGCTTTCCCCTTAGACTACTGCGCTCTTTGATTTACAAGGGGCAGTCTGTCATCAAATGCTTCAAGTCAGGTTCCTTCTCAATGCTGAGATTTGGAAAAATAAGTCTGAATGGGCAAGATCACAGCTGGAGGGTAGATGGGGTAAGGATTTCCAATACAATTCTCACACTGCTCTTCCTACTGAGTATTGTTTACTGGGGCTCTTGTTTCTGGAGAAAATCAAGCAGATTCCTTGTCACATCAGGAAAAACCCAAATCCTTGATACAACTCTTTGGACCTTTTTCTTACAAAGTTAACCTATCAGATTACCCGTGGGGAGTCCTTGCTTTGGATTTAACTGGCCTGACATGCCCTCTTGGAAGCCACTGCTCTGAGTGGTCCTTCTTCTGAAGGCACCTAACCAAAAGTCGGACAGCCTGTAGCTGTTCACGCATGGCAGGCACATTTAAACACGGTTAAAAGCGTCTGCAAGTATGAACCCTGACCCGAGTGGCATACTTGTACACTTGTCCTCGTGCGAGAACTCCCGGCAAACTGCTGCAACTCTCATATGGTCAAATACCATCTTGACTTCCCTTGTGCTGATCCCCGATATGTTGGAAACAGACAAAAATTGCTGATACTTTATGTCAGCCTTTTACTAGCTTTCTAACAGATGCATATAACCAGGAAAGCAAGACTAGATATATGAGGGGCTTCAAAAAGTTCATGGAAACGTATTCCATTTCAAGCTCCAATTGACCACTTGCCCCTAAATGTATGTGTGTGTGTGTGTGTGTGTGTATATATATATATAAAACACAAACTTTTCACAAATTAACTTTTCCACCAAGTTTCTGAAGCCTCCCTGTATCACTCTTGAAACACTGGATTATAAAAGTGTACAGCCAAGTAAGGAAGGGCATAAACACTGCGGCTCAGCGTACTTGTCAACCTGGAACTGGTGGGTGGACTGAAAGTGCTGTCCAGGAGGGAGACTCGGCTCGCCTGGGGAGGGGGAGCTCTACCTCCACCTCCAGATGATCGTCGTCTTGCATTCCTCTCTGGTATTTTCCTCCTCGGCTTTGAGTGTTTGAGGTTCTCATGTCATGAGAGGAGGACTGTCTTTCTCGAAGCCCAGAACTCACCCTTCCTTTCCATGGTCAGCAGAACTATCAGTGAAGATTCTAATCTTCCACAGGGGGAAAAGTTCTCTGGACCGGACCACTAGGCACAACAGGAGCCCATCCTGGGTGCAAATCCCGTTAGAGATGTGTAAGCGCCGTATTTGTTTTCACAGTGCCGTCTCCCCTACAAACTGCAGGACTGGTGTGTGCACTCAGTTGTGCTGGTCTTTCTCACAATGCCCATTCACACAACTGCTAATCATGACCGCCCAGGGACGTTTGTCAAAAACATTCTGGATCATCTCAGAACGCAATAATCCCATCTTAGCTATTCTTTACCCTATGAATATCCCAGTAAAATATACATACATAGGTTTTATAAAGTGAAATGTTCACATCCGAAACTTAAGATCTGTTGCATACTGTCTGTCTGCTGTTATCTAGACCTGCCTCCCCTTCTCTGCTCAACAAGCTGAGAAATCACGAAGTATCTCCCTGGTCCAGATGTCACTTATTCCCTTGACATGCGTCTCTTCATCACACACACACACTCGTTCACTAAACATACTGTTGTCAAACAACGGTTTCCAGAAGTCTTTATTTCCATAACTTTATTAAAATAAAACATATAATAAAGAAAAATAATGGGAAAAATAGACCCCTATCAGTTTTATTAGCTACAGTATGCACTATTTGTAATTATATATTATAAATTACATATAACTTGTAATTATAACAAAAATTTCAATTTTGAAAAATGTTTTATTCAAGAATGACATCATTTCAAATATCTTCCAAAATAGTTTCCTAGAGTGCTACAAAAGAAAGCAAATTCATTAAGAAATTTAAGTCATTAAATACGTTTCACTAATATATATGTATAGAAAGCCAAGCAATTTAGACTCATAGCCCTGGAATGCATAACATATCTTTTCTTTTTCTCCGTGAAAGGCTCAATCCGGCACTGAACAGGCAATGAACAACAGGCAAAGTTCAGCGTTCACCAGAGTCTGGCATCAGCGACCGTCACTTACAACTGTGGTAGTTTGTCAACCGGGGTGTCAAATTTGAAGTCTGTAGGAAACAGATCTGGGGCTCGAGGATAGATGAGTCTGTAGGACTGTCTGATGGTTACATCAGCAACACCAGCAATATCTCCAATTTCTAAAAGACAGAAACCAACATTAGCATAATGTCTACCCTACCTTACACGCGTACCACCTGCACTCCAGAATGACAAAGGGAACAAAAGCAACACACAGAGACAACAAATAGAACCAAGTAGCTAACTAATGAAATGCACACTAAGAAGTAGAAAGCAGTAGTTAAAGTAAATAATAACGTTAATAGTACTTGGCACCTCAGGGGCTTTCAGTAGTATTAAATGATTTAAATTTGTAAAACATCTGCGCAATGTTCAGGACATAGGAATAATTGGTAATTATGTTGGTCATCATATTTAGACTGAGGGCTGCTCTATCTTCATAAATCTTTGAAAATGGAACAGTAATCTATGAATACATTCTTGTAAAGAATATATATTCTTATATTTGAATATTCCCCATAAGTTCGCCCCAACAGCTAACCTGTTTAATAGCAAAATGGGATCATACTACATTATTCTTCAAGTTTTGTTCAACTCAATACAGCTGAGATCAAAGAGTTATATACCCCATAGCATAACAGATGGCACATTTAAATAACTAATAGTTGGCTTCCTCTTTCTAATTATTCATCCTATTATTTATTGCTTTTAGCAACAGAGAGACAGCCTCAGCTGAAGTGAAAAGCCACTTTGAGAAGGGTGTTACAGATGTATTGTGGCCATCAGTTCAATGTCCTTCGTTTTAACCCACCTGCTCCTTGTTCTGTATAAAACTGAGGTAGCAAGCCTGTGAAGAAACTCACTTTATAGTTCTGTCTCAACGTTTCTCTACAACACTGAATTTTAAAAATGACTGTAGAAGGCTGAACGACTTATATCCATGTACTGAAGTAAGCAGCTGTGAATAGTGTACAAGATGAGCAGGACCCACTGAGTGTTAAAGCTGCAGAGGCAACCTGAGGGGACTTCAACTTCATGGAAAACTGCAATTAAAGGTAATAAAATTCTCCCAGCTCTGTGAAGCCCCTCCTATTTATAATGTGCCTACCTTAAGATACCACGTCAGGCAGTCAGAGATAAACAGGACTCCTCCTCAACTTAAATATTTAAAAAGAAAACCAGAGGGAGATGAGGCTATTCAATAGAAAGCACACATTTGCTTAGTTATGCCTCCAAGCACTTTAATTTATGAGGCTCTTAACAGCAAAATGTTCTTAATTTTTAATACTGAAGAGTTCAGTGTGGGTTCTAGATAATTTATCAGCCCCGAAATTATGAAAATATAATTGTAGATGACAGCTTTCACCACTTCATTGCCGTTCTTCCTTAGGGAGAGTCCTACCTTTTTGGGTCCTCTTCTCAGCTGAAGCCTGTGACGCCATGTAAATAGCTGCCGCCGCCACAGATATTGGGCTCCTCCCTGGCACCAAGTCCAACTCTACGGCCTTACGGGCTATATGTGTAGCTGCCATTTGCACTTGCTTAGGGAGACAAAGGTTTGAACAGAACCTGGACATGAAGTCCCCAGTTGTAATCAAATCCACACTTGTTTCTAAAGCTTTCAAAATAAGTTTAAAACATCGACCAATTTCCTTCTTAGAAATCCGTGATACAGCACATATCTCTAAAACAGAACAAAAAAAAAACACCATGTGATTAAATCTACTTCAGTCATATAATATAGTTCACTCTGAATATAAATTTTACTGAAATAAAGCCTAAATATATATAGTTGATTTTTAAAGCTACTATTTCTGGTTATAAAATACATGTAAATTCAATCGTGTCTTAAAAATGAAACCATAACTCTCTCAGTGATATTTCCCATCAGCTCAATTTTAAAATTTTCAGTTATTTTCTTCAATTCATGCAAATATATTTAATTCAACAAAAACCTTTTTAGTATTTATCCGAGGGATACCCCCCCAAAACTGGAATTACCCCCACCAAAATTATGTACTTAATATTTTGTTACAGAACAATCATATCACCTTCAAAGTATTCTCCAATTACACTTAATACATTTGTCAAATCTGCTATTCCATTCTTTTTAAATGAGTCTGAAACATTTTTCCAATGTTTGGATGGTTGACAACACCTCCTTCGTTTTTTCTTCAACTCTTGTATGTCATCAAATCCTTGTCCTTTCGTGTCCCTCTTCATTTGTGGGAACAAAAAGAAGTCTCATGGAGCAAGGATCAGGTGAATGTGGTGTGTGAGACAAGAGAGGCATGCTGTTTTTCGCCAAACACTGGTGCATTAAGATGGCTGCGTGAGCAGAAGCACTGTCACGGCGGCAAAAGCAGTCCCGTCTACTACAGATCAGGCCTTTTTTGTCGCACTGTTACACTACCTTTTCAGAACCTCTAAATAGAAAGCTTGATTGATGGTCTGACCAGGTGGAATGAACTCCAAATGCACGACGAGTGGACATTTTCACCCGTTCAGGAAGTTGACATCCAAATCGAGGTTTGTCATCAATCGACATTTTACCTCTTTTGAAATGAGAGGTTTTATACTGGAGTTTTTTCCTGTAGTGCTGTCCTTGTAATCTGTGTTCAACATCACAACAGTTTCTGTGGCACTTTTCACCAGCAGGAAATAAAATTTCACAGCTGCATGCTGATCTCTTAAATCAGCCATCCCAAAAAAAATGAGGTTCAAGCGTAACAGCTTTTAAGAAAAAATTCACTGTAACCAAAGAGAGCTTTCCCAGGTGATGCCACTGGGTGCACTAACTCAGAGCAAGTTGCCTGATACTCACCTAGTGGAAAAAATGCATACTACAAAAGATTCACCTAGCAGAGGCTTTTTCTGGATTTGTTTTGGGGTACCCCCTCATATATTGCTCTGTTACAATTGTACCAAGGATATTTCTTAAAAAAGAACCCCCAACCAAAAATTTAAGCAAAATAAACATGTGCAATACTGCTTTTAAAGGCTGTATCTAAATGAGATAAAATATTTGCATGTTATGCTGAGAATTCTAACTTATAATAACAAACAATTATGATGGTAATAAAGGCTACCTTTTCAGTGAAACCCAAGGAAATGTGTTGAATGAAGAACAATTATGGTCTTAAGCTAAAATGAACTTTGGCAGTGACACAGTAACATGTTGGCACATATTCGTGGCTAACTGGAAATGGGAGAAAAAAACATTTCTGTCAAAGCTTGAAAGGTAGAAGTGAAAGTGTAAACTATATATAAATCAAGAGAAAAAATCACTACTGTTTTTATGACTCTGAGCTGTAGAGAACTATACTGGGAGAGGAAGCTCTTGTCCTTCGTCAAGTGCATGGACTCACTGCAAGGCCTGCTCTGACTCAGAGTGCAAGCACCACAAAGCCCGCCAAGTACAGTCACCTACAAGACCCTAACTAGAAAAAATAAAAGGTCAAGTGGGTTCACAAGGGCTCAAATACCTACATGAGAAAGCAGTACAGAAAAAAGCTTGGTTAATAAAAGTACAATACAAACTTGTCAAGGACTAAAATTTGCAGTATTGGCAAATGCTGCTCAGGTGTGTTACAATCTGTAACGATGAAGACTTGGCTAAGCTTCTTCGTATCAAAGTTGCTTGACTTATTTATTATTTAACAAAATGTATACAACAATATCATTTTTATCAACAGAACTAAAGAAGTACCTTTGAAAGTCCTTGGGACCCCTTCTTGTCGACAGGCAATGTAGAGACAAGCAGAAGCTATGGCATCGTTAGCTCTTCCCTTCAGGCTCTTCTGCTCATACACCTGCTTGAATAAATTGTTTGTTCGATCCTTCAAAGGAGAAAAAAGAAGTTTAACTCTAGGCCATTTAACTTGTTGTGATATAAAAACTCCACGTTTATTATATTATGTTAATTAAACCAATGCCAATGTGGTTTAATAGAAGCAGACAAGAACTTACAACTATATTTCTAGGGAGATTGATTCTGTCTGCCATGGTAGTGATTTCCTTGAATGCATTCATCATGGCTCGGTCAGAGCTACTCATTGTTCTCCGATTTTGGTATTTAGAATTGCCAAATTCATCAAAACTTGCAGCCCCTGTGCCCTGCAAGACAAAGTTTTTAAAGTCTATGCAAATAGAGACAACTGAAAACACAGAGATGACTCCATGTAAAAATTAAACTGCCCAAAAACATCCCTGTGCACTCCCCTAATCCTGTCAGGAAAAGTACCAAGCTCATATGGTTTGAAAGAGGTTTTCTGTCAAATACTTAAAGAATATAATTCTTAGCAACTGCTCAAGAACACAAAAATGGACCAGTTAAAGTGAACAAAAGAAAACAATAATTCACAAAACCAAGTGTAAAAAAGAGAAAGTCCAACTTTACTGATAAATAGGATACAAAATATTAAATATCAGAAAATATCCAACAGTGTATCCTGTTCCATGAATGCAAGAACACCTATTAAAAAATCTAGTAAAAAACACTACTGTATTAATAGATCTAAGGAGAAAAACCATATGATTATCTATAAAGGTGATAAGGCAAATAAATGAAACAAAATATATTTTGATAAAAACTAACACTATTGATAGATACTGCTTCTTCACATTAAAACAAAAACAAAACCTCTCTCTCCCAAGCCCCATGACTCAGGAGAAACACTGGCATAATTACCAAAGTTGGAAGCAAAAAGAGTGGCACTTCCTCCTATTAATATGTAACAGGGCAGTGGAAAAATGACCAATATTGTCAGGCAAGAAAAAAGCCCTAAAAGTATAAAATTAGGAAAGAAGGAATAAACTTAACCCTTTTTGCAGAAAAGCACTGGGAAATTGGCAAGGTCAAGATTAATAAACAGAAATCAATAGCTTTTACATATACAACCAACTGATTAGAACAAAATGGCTACATTATGTCCATTAACAACAGCTACAAAGAGAGAAAATATCCAGAAGTCAGCATAACAGACATGCCAAACCTCTTAGAAGGAACTTTAAAACCCAAGTGAAGGACTTATAGGCCTAAAGAAATGAACAGACCATGTATTTGGATAAAATTGACTATGAATATGTCAATTTTTCTCAAGTTAGCTTGCAACTAAGCTAAGCCAAAAGCAGAATGAAAATAATAAAAGTGGTTTTTAAAAAAAATTATTAATTAGAAGTAACTTTAAAATTCACATAAAAAGTCCAAGGAAGCAAATGCTGAATAGGAAGGGTGGTACAGGCGAGGGAAGATTTGTCCTATTAAAAATGAAAAGTGTGACATTTGCGTAACTAGACAAGAATAGGCATAAACAAAGGTGTCACTTTAAGATCTAAAGTGAACCTGGCCCAAGCCCTCATATTTTTAATTTCTACATATGTATGGGAAACAGAACAATGAATAAAGAATACTGGAATTGGAAAAAAAAAAGAATAGACATTGGATAAAAGTTCAGAAGTAACCATAAATATATAGAATTTGGTATACAACAAATATAGCATCTAAAAAAATATTTCCCCCCTCTTTTTTGTCCTACAGCCACAAACAACTTTCAAAGGATAGAGGAGAAACCATAAATAATATGGTTACCTGTTATTGGCAAGGATAGGGGATTGAGGTGGGAATTGAGAGTTTTGCATGAAGGGTGAGAACTTTTTTATATTTGGGGGTTTGAGTCATATATTTCCTATTAAAAAAATTAAACATTAAAAAAAGTGTCAATTACTAGTTGGAACTAACATTTTAAAATATCCTTAGTCTACTTTTTTCTACAACTTGTTATGGGCAAAGCAAATGTAAAAATGCCCTAATAAAGGCTGTATGTGAGGGGGGAGCTGTATGTGGATATAATACTGTCAAGTTTTTGACCTAGCCTACCCTATGCTTCTTTAATATATGAAATTATAGCATGAAAATACAATTAATGACCTGCTATTTCTTGACAGTTTCTTAAAGACAGACTAGGCAGTAGCAAAGGCTGAGCCCTAAAATTGAATACAGTAAATTGATAACGTCCTTCAGAATATTGCCCCGATTACTCTAGCTCAGGCAGCAAAACAATGCCAGGCTGCCAGCAAGAATAAGCGATTTAATGCCTTAAAGAACAATAGCAGCCACCAGTACTGCGCAGACACCACCTGCTATGTGTTACACTGTAAGTATTTAACACACATTCTCAGGTAAATTTTTAATGTCTATGAAGTACTGTTCTGATTTTACAGATCAAAGTCATAATTAGGAACGTCATAAATTCACCAACATGAGAAAAGCTATTCCTGAGCTCCCACTTATCTTAAGTGGAATGGAAATAAAGAGAAAACATTTTAGACACTCAAGGAGCACACAAGTATCAACTCACAAAACCAGACTACACTTCCTGTGAAGAATGCCCTTCATGGAAACACGGACCTGAACATGAAAAAATGCAGGTCAGCTATTATTCAAAATTGTATAACTAGTAAATCCTATTCACCGGGCACAATTAACCACTGGAGCAGCAAGCAGTTGGTACTTCTGCAAAGTTTGCCAACTTCCAGAGGACTTTGGTCATTTTTGCACTTGCTAGTTCTTGTTAGATGAACATTAATACCTTGCCAATCATGGTAGATAAATCTCCATCACTCAGAAGAGGATTCTGAGAATCTCCAACTCGAGATGGATCCTTTGTTGCTTTGTCATTGCTGAATGTTCTCCACTCAGATCCGACATCAATAACTCGGTCACCTACAAATAAATATAAGAAACAAACCTAAATTATCTTTTCAAATTAGGATTTACAGATTAAATGTCTACTGCACAACTGAGTCCTTTTGGCTTAGGCTATCTAGGCTCCAGAATAAATAGCATGTCGCAGCCACTTGTCCTTAAGTATGTCTTTGAACTATTGTGCTAATCCAATAACTATTTTAAAAATCATGTTACTCACGTAAGTTAAAAAAGGAAAACACAGTCAAGATTAACACAAATAGCCAAATAACCTATATAGAACTAGTGTAAAAACAAACCAATATATAATGATTCACAACAAAATTTTTAACAAAACTTGCAACAGACGTGGGGAAAAAAAACCCAGAAAATGGTTCACAATAGTAATTAATATATTTGCTTAATTTTTTTGAAACTAAACTTTTAAAGATCATTTTATAGGGGGCTCGTACAATGGTTATCACAATCCATCCATCCATTTTGTCAAGCACATTTTTATATTTGTTGCCATCAACATTCTCAAAACATTTGCTTTCTACTTGAGCCCTTGGCCATCAGTTCATTTTTCCCCCTCCCTCCCCACTCGCCCCTCCTTCATGAATCCTTCATAATTTACAAGTCATTATTTTGCCATGTCTTACACTGTCCGACGTCTCCCTTCACCCACTTTTCTGTTGTCCATCCCCCAGGGAGGAGGTTATATGTAGCTCCTTGTAATCGGTTCCCCATTTTTACCCCAACTTTGCTCCACCCTCCTGGTATCACCACTCTTATCAATGGTCCTGAGGGGTTCATGTGTCCTGGATTCTCTGTGTTTCCATTTCCCATCTGTACCAGTGTACATCCTCTGGTCCAGTGGGATTTGTAAGGTAGAACTGGGATCATGATAGTTGCAGGGCGGAAGCATTTAAGAACAAGAGGAAAGTTTTATGTTTCATCGTTGCTACACTGCACCCTGACCGGCTCATCTCCTCCCCGTGACCCTTCTGTAAGGGGATGTGTCAAGTTGCCCACAAATGGCCTTTGGGTCCCCACTCTGTACTCACCCTCATTCACAAGGATGTGATTTTTGTTCCTTGATGCTTGATACCTGATTCCTCCCATACCTCATAATCACACAGGCTGGTGTGCTTCCTCCATAGTAGGCTTTGTTGCTTCTGAGCTAGATGGCTGCTTGTTTACCTTCAAACCTTTAAGACCCCAGACGCTATATCTTTTGATAACCGGGCACCATCGGCTTTCTTCACCACACTTGCTTATGCCCCCATTTGACTTCAGGGATTATATCGGGAAGGCAAGTAAACAATGATATGATTTTTCCTTCTTTGATGCCTGAAACCTGATCCTTTCGACATCTCATTATCACAGGCTGGTGTGCTTCTTCCATGTGGGCTTGGTTGCTTCCCAGCTTGATGGGCACTTGTTTACTTGCAAGCCTTTAAGACTCCAGATGCTATATCTTTTGATAGCCAGGCACCATCAGTTTTCTTCACATTTGCTTATGCACCCATTTGTCTTCAGTGATCTTATCGGGAGGGTGAGCATCATGGAATGCCAATTTAATACAACAGTGTTCTTTGCATTGAGGGAGAGTACTTGAGTGGAGGCCCAATGTCCATCTGCTACCTTAGTACTAAACCTATAAATATATGCACATAAACCTATTTCCCCATCCTCAGCTATATATATATATAATTTACATATGTACATGACTGTATTTAGACCTCTATAAATGCCCTTTGCCTCCTAGTTCTTTCCACTATTTCCTTTTACTTGCCTCTTGTCCCACTATCATGCTCAGCCTTCATTTGGGTTTCAATTAGGTTGCATAACCCTTGCTCAAGCCCTACCAGGCCTCCTACACCCTCCTCACCACCAATTTGGATCACTTGTTGTTCCCTGTCCCAAAGTTTGTTAACACCACTTCCTTCCCTACCCTCCCCCTCTCCCATGTCCCCCTGGAACAGCCAGTCCCGTTGTTTTCTCCTCCAGATTATTTATCCAGGTATGCTCCCTTCTTGATTCGCTCCGTTTTTGTTGGTTTTTGGGGGGAGGGGGGAGTTCAGACCATGATGCTTCCCCACCATGTGACCCCAGAAATGTTCTTTGTCACAGTCTGCTCCAATAAGGGGACAGCGTGACATATGCTGCTGTTATTTGCCCAGTCCCCTGTGTCCCATTAGCTCCAAGCAGGGAAGTCATCCTCTGAGCATCGTGTGCCAGCATGGGGCCCAGTCCAACTCTTTCTCTTCCTCCCTCCCAGCCTGCCTCCATCCGGGTATGGCATGCTGGCCCTTCTACCCAACCTGCTCTTTGCCACACCCACTTCTGGGGTGTGTGTGTCAGTTTGGCTCTGGATGGGGCCAGCCCTATAGCTCTCTCTTTCCATGCACCCTTCCGTGTGGCCACGCTGTCCTCATAGGTTGGTGCTTCATGGTAGAGTCTGCATGCCCATTCCAGGTTCTATGCAGACAGGACCAGTACTCTCCCCCTGGGTGGATTAGTGCCCTCCTCCCTCCGTTATCATTTCTTTCAACATCCCCATTTTCTCCCTCCCCCCTCCGTCCTATTCCCATTACTGTGTTGGACCAACATGTACCTCCTTGGGTTTGGTCCAACCTCCTTTCACTTCCTTGTCTCAACGCAATTGTTATAATATAGGTGGCTTCTCTTCTATACCTACCCTACTGATTACACTTACCTCAGGGGACTCATGCTGTACTTCTCCTTTTGTGATTGGCTGACTTCGCTTAGCATAATTTTCTTCAACTCTTCCCATGAAAAGACGTGTTTCATGTGCTCGTCGGTGCTTTTTAGTGATGCATTGTACTCCATTGTGTGTACGTGCCAGAGTTTACTGATCCACTCATCTACCAATGGAAATTTAGATTGTTTCCACCTCTTTGCAGTTGTGAATTGCACTGCAATAAACATTGGAGTGCATACAAGTGGTCGTGGTTTATTTCTTACCTCTTCTGAGTATATACCCAGTAGAGGGAAAGCTGGGTTATAAGGTAGATCTATTTTCACCTTCTTTAAGCGGTCACCAGACCGCTTTCCATAGCGGTTGTACATATCTAAAGGACCACCAGCAATGTAGGAGAGTTCTTATCTCGCCACATCCTCTCCAACATTTGTTGCTCTCTGATTTTCTGACTTGGGCAAGCCTCAAAGGTGTCAGATGGTATCTCATGGTTGTTTTGATTTGCATTTCTCTGATGGCTAATGATCGGGAGTATTTTCTCATATGTTTATTGGCCATATGGGTCTCCTCCCTAGTGAAACCTCTTTTCAGTTCTTTTCCCCACTTCTTCAAGGAGTTAACTGTTTTCCTCTTTTTGCAGGCAAGGAGAGTATTGTAGATTTTCGTAGTAAGCCCTTTGTCTGTTGTGTCCTTGCTAAAAATCCTCTCCCAGTCTGTGAGTTGCCTTGTTACCCTCTTGGGAGTCTTTTGATGCACACAGGTGCTTTATCCTTAGTAAATCCCATTTGTCAATTTCAGATTCCCCTGTGTGTGTACCCTGCCCTGTTGTAGTTATCCTTTGTATTCCCTGGGCCAAGCATCTTAGGTTTGTCCCGATTCCTTTGCTAATGGTCCTGATGGTTTGGGGTTTTACTTCTAGGTTCGTGATTCACCTTGAGTTTGTGCTTGTGCATGGGGTGAGGGAGACATCCTGTTTCATTTTTCTACATGTGGATTTCCATTGTTTCCAGCACCAGTTGTTAAATGGGGCGTTGCCCTCCCACTTGATGCTTTTGGGGCCCTTGTCAAAGATCAGTTGTCTGTATGCTGATGGTTTTATTTCTGGGTTTTCTATTCTTTTCTATTGGTCGGTGTATCTGTCATTATGCCAGTACCATGCTGTTTTGACCAGTGTGGCTTTGTAGTAGGTGTGAAAGTCAGGTAAAGCGAGCCCTCCGACTATGGCCTCTCTTCTTGAGGAGACCTCTACTAATTCTGAGCTTCTTCCCTCTCCATACGAAATTGGTGGTCAGTTTTTCCAATACTCTGAAGAAGGTTGTTGGTATTTGAATCGAGATGGCATTAAACTTATAAGGTGTCCTGGGAAGAATAGACATCTTTACTATATTGAGTCTTGCGATCGGTGAGCATGGGATATTCCCCCCTTTGTGGAAGTTGCTTTTGTTTTCCTGTAGTAGGGGCTTGTAGTTTTCCTTGTATAGGTCTTTTGGGGGTTTTTTTTGGTCAGATATATCCCTAGATATTTCAGTTTGTTCTTGGCTATTGTGAATGGTACTGTCTTCCTGATCTCCCCCTTCCATGGTCTTATCTGATGTATACAGCAAACTAATTGACTTCTGTTTGTTGATCTTGTATCCTGCACTCTTCCATATTCCTCTATCACTGTCAGTATTCCAGTTGTGGAGCTTTTGGGATTTTCAATGTACAGAATCATGTCATCTGCAAATAACAACAATTTCACCTCCTCCTCTCCCAGCTGGATACCTTTGATGTCCTTCCGTTGTCTTATGTTATTAGCTAGGACCTCCAGTACAGTATTGAATAGAAGTGGGGAAAAGGTACATCCTTGTCTAGTCCCCTTTTTCAGTGGATTTAGTCTTTTCTCTGTTGACTGATGTTAGCTGTCGGTTTTTCGTAGATAGCTTGTATTAACTTGAGGAACTGCCCTTCCATGCCTATCCTCCTTAGCATCTTAATTAGGAATGGTGCTGGATGTTGTCAAATACTTTTTCTGCATCTATGGATATTATCATGTGGTTCTTATACTTTTCCTTATCAATGTTGTGTACAATATTGATGAATTTTCGGATGTTAAACCATCCCTGCATCCCTAGGATGAATCCTACCTGATCCACATGGATGGTGCGTTTTTTATACTTTTGTATTCTATTAGCCAACATCTTGTTGAAGATTTTTGCATCTATGTTCATTAGAGATCTCGGTCTATAGTTCTGTATTCTTGTGGGATCCTTGCCCTGTTGGGTATCAAAGTTATACTGGCTTCATAAAATGAGATTAGGAGTTTGCCATTCTT